GTTTTTCGGAAGATTTTGGTATATTGTATATAATTGCTCAGGTACCTATGTGGGGGGGAGGGAGGTCCCGTAACAAAGTTTTTTAAAAAAAAACTGCCAGCAGGCCTCTAAATTGTTAGCAAAACAAAGGTCCCTAATTTCATAAGTAACCTTAGTGAGCACAAAGAACTAACAGCCGTATTCCTTAAACTGTTTTTTCCACAATACCTACCTTGTATCCAGGGATTAAATCCATGTAACTCTGAAGGAAAGGATTTGGCTCTTGGCCTGCTTGTCAGAGTGGTGTGACTTAGTTGTGCACCTGTGGCTGTCCCTACCTGGTTTCTTCTGTTCTACTGTGAGCACAAGTAGCCACCGAAATCTCCCGAGTTCTAGAGGCCCACCCCCACTGACCATATCTCACAGTGCACACATTCAGCTCACATCCACCCGTGTTCAAGGCCCCGGCAGATTATGCACATCTTGCATTACCCGTCAGAGAACAGAGAATTCCTCAGACTTCTGAAAGTCCGAGAAACAGCACAGCAATAAAGATAACTTAAAAGTGGACTGTAGTGCCCTTATTCTCACAGTACCACCAGACACATTTGATAGTAATGTTTAAAACTCCATTAAAGGAAAAACTTTTTTTTTTTTAACTGCTCAAGTACATAGGACCTTGTTTTCATCTTTTGTCTCTGATACGTTGTGTTCATGGTGTTGCCTACCAAAAAATGGCGACCCAAGTGCTCTTGGTGGATGAGTTGAAACTTTTTTTTTTTTTTTTTTCCATTACAGAGAGAAGTCGTAGAAGCCCAAAACTAGTTTCATGAGTTAAGCTAAACTTGTGTTTTGGGGTTTCTTGGTCTCACACCTGTCGCTGGGTGTATCTGCTATTTTGTGTGCATGTGTGTGTGTTTAGGAGTTAAGGAGTAATGTGCAATGTGAGGTTACTTGGGATAAAACATTACTCTGGTTAGATAAGGTCTGTTGCTTTTTGTGTCATTGAGGTAAACAAGGCACTGTAGGGAAATGCTCCCTGCCATCTTGGTGTTTTGACTGTAGTACATTAAATTGGCATAAATTGTATTATAATGAAGCAGACACCTCTGTGTTTAGAGAAGTGTTTATGTGTTTAAAGCTGCTTGGCTACATTAGTACTGCTGATTTCTTGTGGTCTTTTCAGGCCATAAGGTCTCAAACATTTTTACCCTTTCACTGCAGGCATTATAAAGAAACTTATATTTGGAATTCAAATAGTTGAGGGGAAGCATCTTTATATAGCCCAACTAGGTAAGGAAGCCTTACGAATTGCTTAGGATTAACAGATTTTGTACAGCTGGCCCCTGTAGTCTCTTCTAGAACTGTTTGAGAACTTCCTGAAACAACAAGCAACTCTCCATGTAGGATGTTTTTTAGTCTCAGAACCTGAGATGAAAGTCTTGGGGTCTTGGTCACAAAACTGCATGGAGTGTTGCTTATTTCTTGGATAACTGGGATTGAGTCAGCAAGTAGTTAATTGCTTCCCAGGCAGTAGTTAGTGGCAGGTGCTGAGGACATGGAGGGAATGGTGTTTGGAAATGCCTCTGGAAGACTTCTGGATGCGAGAGGAGCTGAGCTGGCTGTAAGATGCACTCGAGGCACTCTGATTTCTCTCATTAGTCTCAGCCGCTGGCATATGAGCACCAGCAAGCGGGATCTGTGCTCACTGCTGACTCCCCAGTGCCTGCTTATAGTGCGGGCCTGGCATACAGAAAGTGTTTTATCATTTGGATACCTGTTTGGTGGCTTGCAAAGAGGGAGGCGTACTTGCAGTGGGTGTTCTGGTGCGGCGAGGCAGGCAGGCCGGTGGCGGAGTCCTCTTTTAAGTAGAGGCCACAGGGGTATAGGTTTGGAGCTGAGGGCCAGTGACTGCTAATTGACCAGCAGCTGAAACTCCTGAAGCTGAGCTCCAGACCCACTGTCTTAAGCACTTCCTATCCTTCCCCCACCTCCCTGACACCAGCCTCACGTGGCTCACTCAGCCTTTTCTCTCTCTGTTCACTCACTTGCTAGTTCTGCTGATTGTTTCTCTTTTTTATTGTTTCCCACTGTCATCACTGCCCTGGTTTAGGGGCCAGTAGACAGCAACTTGATGAGGGCAGTGAATGCGTTGCCTCCCTGCCTCTGGCCAGTTCAGCAGCCCATGCTTCTGAAACTCATCCAAGTGCACAGGACGGCCCGTACCTCTGGAAGCTGAGCCTCCTCTTCAAGACCATGCCTGACTCTTTACTCTTGAACCCCCCATTGCAGAGCCTCCCTAACTGCTTTTCTTTGCTTTATGGAACACATACTCAAATATCTGCACAAAGGAATGCTACTCCTTTCTCACCAAACTTTGAATCCACAGGCTTCCAACTGACGTTATCCCGTCTGAGGACCCCCTCATTTCACACCTTGCTTCATTAACGCTTTCTTACAGTTCTGCCTTCTACCTTCTTTTCTGGTTCTTAAATTTTTATCTTTGATTGGATAAGCACAAAAGCCCCATAATGTTACCATACTTAGCCTCCTATAAAAACACTTTCACAGAAACTTACCCATGAGCCTGGAACTGCCCACACCCTCTCATGTTGCCATAAGCCTCTCAACTTGCTTAGCCCTTACGGAGATTGAAGAGGGAATCCTCCACCTTGCCTGACTGCCTTCCCCTGATCCCCAAACGCACTCCGTCCATGGCTGCCCTCTGCTTGTCGTAGTTAGAGATGGGCATTTGGATCTCCACAGCTAGCCAGTGCCATGTGGACTTGGGCGGTTTCAATGGCCATTGCTGTGGAATAACCGCAGTACGGCGGTGGCAGAAAGGGGACTGACCAGAAGCAGAGATGACGCGTACACTCATCGAGTGCCTGATCTGTGTCTGGAGACTTGCCCACAGCTGCTCAGCTACAACTAGCGCTGCTGCTATCTCCTGTGTCCAGGCTGTTTGTCATCTTTTTACCTCCTCTCCGCTTCTGGGTCTGACTTTAGCTGTGGGGGAGACCTGGGCTCTGGTCCTGGCAGAGCCTTTACCTCTTCAGGCTTCAGCGTCTTCATTATCGTAAGGACAATAAATTAGATCAGTGCGCTCCAGTAAAAATATGAGAGACACGATGAACTTCTCAGTAGTCACATTAAAGAGCAGAAGTAGGTGAAATTTGGTCAGGGGCAGTGACTCACTCCTGTAATCTCGGGACTTTGGGAGGCTGAGGCAGGAGGACCCCTTGAGCCCAGGAGTTCAAGACCAGCCTGTATGACACTGCAAGACCCCATCTATATAAATTTCTTTTTTTAAAAATTATACTTTAAGTTCTGGGGTACATGTGCAGAACATGCAGGTTTGTTACATAGTTAAACACGTGCCATGGTGATGCGCTGCATCCATCACCCTGCCATCTACATGAGATTTTTCTCCTAATGCTATCCCTCCCCTAGCCTCCCCCACCCCACAAGCCCAGGTATGTGATATTCCCCTCCCTGTGTCCATGTGTTCTCATTGTTCATCTCCTACTTAACGAGTGAGAACATGCAGTGTTCTGGTTTTTCTGTTCCCATGTCAGTTTGCTGAGAATGATGGTTTCCAGCTTCGTCCCTGTCCCTGTTAAGGATGCGAACTCATCCTTTTTTATGGCTGCATAGTATTCCATGGTGTATATGTGCCACATTTTCTTTATCCAGTCTATCATCGATGGGCATTTGGGTTGGTTCCAAGTCTTTGCTATTGTGAACAGTGCCACTGGGTGTAGTGATCCCAGCTACTTAGGAGGCCGAGGCAGGGGAGTTGCTTGAGCCCAGGAGATCAAGGCTGCAGTGAGCCATGATCTCACCACTGCACGCCAGCCTTGGCAATAGGGTGAGACCCTGTCTCAAAAAAAGTGAAATTCATTTAAATAAGTCTATTTGATCTACTTTATCAAATTTTATCATTTCGATATATGATCAGTAGAATCAATATAAAATATATAATCGATATAAAAAATCTAAATGAGATAGTTTACATTCCTTTTATCATATCGCACCTTTGGTATCCAGGATGTGTTTTTGCACTGACAGCGGTGCCTACTGTATTGGGAAGCACAGCTCTAGCAAAAATGTTTCACTCTGAAATTCTCATTCTTCACGTGTGGGAGGCAAGAGTTAACCCAAAGTTATAGAAGGAGAAGCTCTACAGCGGTAGGGTTCTTTGTCTCTTTCTTTCTGGTGTATCACAAGCTCTTGGAGCAGTGCTTAAAACACAGGCAGGCACATTTTTGAAAGAGTGAAAGTCAGTTACAGCTAACTTACTGACAGTTATTCACCCTGTGCGTCAGACGACGCTAAAACATGTGGTGTTTGATTCGTAGCCTGGTGCTCATTCTTTTGTTTTCTTATGGCTTCTTAGAGAATAATAAGGCAATAGGATTTCAAGGAGCTGCTGCTAAAATATTCTGAGACTCGCAGGGGACCAGGACTCAGTTTATCAGCAATTAAATTTTATTAACAATTAAAATTTGAGTGAAATTGCAAGAGGAAGTCACTTTCAAGTCAAAGGTGTTTGAGCTGTCTAGTGGCAGCACATTAATTACTTGATAAGTGCTAAATATGGGGAGGAGGTCTGGAACCTGCAACTCGAATGCTGACTCCTCAAGAAAGGACCCATACAAAACAAAAACCCGGACGGAACTGTGCACGTAGTTGGCATCTGCTCCGAAATGGAGGTCTGCTCACACTTAGACACTTGTGAATGGAGTGTGTTTATGTGTCTAATGTATGATAAGGGTGGCATTTGAGGAACTAACAGTTGCTTGTCCCTTTCCTGATAAGGCCCAGGCAGGGAAACTGCTAGTGATTAGACAGGACTTTTTAGCTGACTGAGATCTTCCTTTTGGACAACTGTTTAAAGCTCTAGGCTGGAGAGTTAGATGGTAAAGTCGCCTGTGGAAGCAGCCTGTGAAGAAACCCAGAGGCTGTCAGCTCTTAAACCCTGTGGATCGTGTGTAAACGGAGTCATTCTTACAGTAAGCAGTCTCCTCCTTAGGAATCATTCTCATTTTTCTCAGTCTACGCAATCTCTAAAAGAGAAAGGCAGGTTCTCTTCGGGAACCTCTTTAAATGAATTCAGACCAGGAACACCTCTGATTTAGGAAGAAGCATTTGATGGTGGGGAGGTGGTTACCAAGTAGCAGCAGGATTATTTCCATTTCAAGTTATGTATGTAGCACTTAATGCTGACACTTTGGAAAAAAATCAAGGCTTTTATGCCCAGCCTTCATCTGAAGAAGTCTGTGTCCCGACCTTGTTAATATTTCCATTTGCAACCACGTCACAGTATTCCTTTCAACACTGGAACTTGTGTGGCATCCCTGTTGCCATATCTGGGCCAATGTTTTGATTCTGTTTGCTGTTTTGCAGCCACAGCATTCGTTCTTCCAGCGTTATCTCTCCACCCACACTTGCTTAAGCATCCTATTTTCAAAGGTGGGAAAGAGCTTTCTGTTTGGAGTTGTCATTGTGTGGGTGTCTGTGGACGGAGCCCAGTGACAACCATTCAGACTGTGTGTTGGCTTCTCACTTCTCAGTGGGAAGTGGGAATTTATGGAGGCCCCTTAGACCCTAACAGCCGAGATCACAGCCTGGTTCTGTGGCCTGCCTGGGTTTCAGTCCAGGGCTGCTTTCCACAGCTCATGCTGCGTCCCAGTTGCTGTGGGAATCTAACCAAATTTTTTTGACTCTAGTAAACATCATTGGTAAGTGGCTGGAGGATGATGATAGCCTTGAGAAAATAGAATGAGAGACTGGCTGAACGCGATGGAGCTGAGAGTGAGAGAGACCAACTGTGGAGTTCAGGGCGTCACTGACTTAGACGTGTATTCTGTGGGCACAGCTCTGTGGTCGGGGGCAGTTACTTCTCTGAACTCAGGCAGAATGTGATGTGGGCATTTAAGTGGGCAACTGTGAAAATAACATCTTGGAAAAATAGCGAACATAGGATATATTTTATTGGCCTTTCAAAAAGCAAAGCATTATTTTATCTGGTGTTATTGCTTCAGGCCATTCATAATCTAAGCTCCTTTCTATGTACCTGAAACATCCAGTGTCTGTTATCTGTAACTTTCATGTGTTGGGGCTGTGGAGGAGTCTTCAGAATGTGCCCCCCTCCCTAGTTGGGGGGTCTGGCGCTAGGGAGGAGCCGGCAGACAAAAGCCTTCCTCAGGCTGCCCCCAAACCCTTCCTAGATAACTTCTGGTCTTCATCCTCGAGGCCAAGGAATTCAAGGAGTAAGGGAGGATTTTTTTTTTTTTTTTTTTTCTCAGAAGACCATATTCGCGTTAAGCCTAGTTTTTCTCCTTTCTGCACATGCCAAGCAAAATGACCAAGGTCTATGGTCATTCAAAGCAGCTGGCTCTTTTCTGATGGGTGAAAGAATCTCAAGGTTCAAACAACATGCAGGTGGGAGAAGTGACAGGTGTCCAGTCTGAGGCTCCGCATTCATGAGGTCCTGTGTCGCCTCCAGACTTTCTGCTTTGCAGTTTTGTTCCAGCTCTCCTTCCTGGGCTAGCCCTTTAAGTCCTGGTCACTCCCTGCAAATTTATCAACCATTTCTCTGTAGCTCCAGTTGGGTTATTGGCTTCTTTGATCTCAGAAGGTTGCCGTCTTGACTGTAGCGAGTGTCCTGTCTGTTGCTTCATCAGCCTATCAACACTCTGATCTCCCAGCCATCAGAGCGAGTCTCAGTAATGGTTCCTTTAGTCCATGAGCAAAAAAAAAAACCAGCATGCCTTAGTTTTCTGGATCAGGACAGCCCATTCCTAACAATCTCCTTCTTGCGCCATTAATTTTTTCTCTTATTACTAGTTCAGCAAGCTGACTGTCCCAGCACCTTCCAATCTCGGGTTCTCTCTCTCTCTCCTGGACTTGGTTTCTGTTTATTTGTTTGTTTTTTTGAGACAGAGTTTCACTCTTGTTACCCAGGCTGGAGTGCAATGGTGGGATCTTGGCTCACCACAACCTCCGCCTCCTGGGTTCAAGCAATTCTCCTGCCTCAGCCTCTCGAGTAGCTGGGACTACAGGCGCACGCCACCATGCCCAGCTAATGTTTTGTATTTTTAGTAGAGACGGGGTTTCACCATGTTGACCAGGGTGGTCTCAATCTCTTGACTTTATGATCCACCCGCCTCGGCCGGACTTGGTTTCTCCAAAACCACTGCTCTGCAACTTAGCCAGCATCTTGGAGCTCCCTGGGAAGTTAGGGCCCTAGGCCTTCATCTCCTAGCCATTGCTCCTTTAAAACAAATGTTAGCATAACGATTAGCATTTCTACACTTAACCATGTTCAGCTCTGCTGGCTCCAGCTCCAGCTTGGAGTTTCTGTGCTGACAGTTGTTAGATGTTTCAGTTCTAAATCCTTCTCCCTCGCTCTCAGCGTTTGCAATCTGGCCTTACCTCACTCAGGTGGCCTTGGCATGTCTAGTCAAACTTCTTTCCTGCCATCTTATTTTTTTAAAAATCGTTATACCTTCCTTCCTTTTCTTTCTGCTTAACTGCGATCGCCTTCCCCTGACCACCTAAGCCCAACCAGTTCCTCGTCAAACTCCCGCCCCACCAAAGCTATCCACCTTTTAGGAGGACTCTTAAATTATATTTCTGCTACTCACCAGCAGTGTATCCTTGGACAGTTTACAATTTTCACATACTCTTTGTTCTCCAGTTTTCCCGTGGGGGACTGGGGGGAATGGTATCTCTTTTATAGGGTTGTTAGAGGAATCAAATGATTGATCCATATACGGCCCTGAAAACACTGTTTTGCTGCTCACTTGTGATGTTGTAAAATAGTTTGGGGGCTCATTAGGGCACTGGCTAAACATCTAGTCACATTTGGTGTCTCCTGGCCATGGCCTTGGCTGCTGCTATATGAAGAGCCCTTGGAGGGCTCTGCATGTATTAGTACCTGCCAGGGAAAGGGTGTGGGCAGAACTGGACGTTCATGCTATGAAACAATCGATGTGCACCCGTACTGAGAAGTGGGATTTCCCATACACTGTGGCAAGCCATTATCTTCCTTGGTGTCTCTCTGCGGGGCTCCTCTAAGCCACCTGACACCTTTTGCTTAACTGGAACCTGCACAAAAGCAGAGAGTAAAGGCTGACTCCAGCTTTCTGTTCTCTATGATATATATGGTGAGGACGGGGGGGCAATGGAAAGATGAGGTCTCACGATTACATAGTGACCAGAAGCTTGCTTTGTCCTTTTTTGGGAGGACAAATAACATCTATTTTAGAAAAGATCACTTTAGCGGCTGCAAGAACTGGTGAGCCCAGTGCACGTGTGGGCTGTGACATGTGCTTGTCGGTCTTCACCTCCCAGCCCACGTGGCAGATCTTGAGCTTGGTGGAGGGGGTCACCGGTTACCAGACTTAAGACACTAGTCCTGCATTTGAAGACCTGTGGTCAGTTTGCGCAACCTTTTCTGAACCTTAAAACTTAACTTGTGAAAAAGGGACTTTCGTAGCTTCCTTAGAGTGTGAGGATTAGATGGAAATTGAAGTGAAGGGGCTCATACTAGGTACTATTTCACTTGCTTCGACACTCACCTCTACACCCTTCATTTCACAAGCAAATAAGAAATAATCTCAGAGTTGTGGTTCTCATTCACTTGTCTTGCTAAGGGAAGAAGTGGGATAGGATAGTATGAAGTGTATTGCCACCACTTTTACTTCTGCTTAAATTCCCTAGGTTTTCATATGTAATGGAATGGTGTCTTTTTGTCTCAAGTGCCCTCTTGTGCATGGGGGAGGAGTTTGTGTGGAAGATGTGTGGGAAGAGCCACAGGTGCACGGGTCCCCTGTTGGCCAGGAGCCAGGGCTGGCAGGTGTCTTGGTTCCATGTACACACTTCTCTTGGAGTCTGTCACCAAGCTTGGTCCATTGCCCAAGATTCCAGCTCTTACCCTGGGTTAGAAAGTTTTACTGGGAAGAACCACATGTTTGAGGTAACATCCAGAAACAGTGAAAGAGAATTTGTTATCAAAGGAATGAAGTGTGTTTGATTTTCTTTTGTTATTCATAAACCCACAGGAGGTTCATTAGAAGGTAATGCTTAGTGGCCTCTGGACTGCTGAGAGCCTCAGTTCAAGCCTTGCATTTTCCCGAAATTTTCCAGACAATCACTTCCATAGTTTTCATGTTAAAGATCACAGACCTAGGGTTAAATATATTCAGTCCTTAACTTGATAGAAGTATGTCTCCGCACATACCAAGAACCCTGTGGACGGTTTCTACATCTAATGCCAGGCACAAAATAAGAATTAATGTTGCTTTGACCAAAGACCTGTGTGCAAGTGTAATAAATGCTCGCAGTTCCCTCCCCACCCCCAGCTCGTGCACCTGCCTCTCCTGCTTGCCCACCTTGGGTCCCTCACACTTTCATCATGTTTCTGGAGTTCATTGGCTAGTCCAGAGAAGCAGGATTAGAAATAGTTTTCTTCCCCCCCGTTTAGTGCTCAGACGTACATTTTCTGACCAACCTGCTTTGAGCAGCTCTGCCCTGGACAGTGGGAAATTAGATTAGACCTCAGACTGTTTCTCAGGGACCTTGGTTTAACCTTCTGGCCTAGTTCGCCTTTTCTTCTTTTGCTGCCATCTCTGCAAACCTCTTTTTTTCCCCCTTCAGTGTGTGTATATTAGCTAACAGAGGTTAGATAACAGAAGAAAATGGAGTTCAAAAGTACCTGAGAAAGTTGGTCATCTTGATTTGCCAAAAAAATAAACCCTTAATTCTCAAATCTGTAGGAAAAAAAGTATGGTTTTTACCTTTCCCCACTTCTAGTGTGCAAAATACAACGAATCTGTTTCTCAAACAGTAAAAGGGAAATTCACTTTAGTTTGAATTTACTAGGCTTCAAATTAATTTGTTCTCTATTTTGCTAATTCTGCTAACTAGAATTTCCCTTTAACCAGGGCCTTTCATGAATTGGGAATGTGTGTCCCACGTGATTCTTTTATATGGGGATTATTTCAGTGTTGATTTAACGTGGTTAATTAAAACTAAAACTGTTGGACTAAGCACTGATGTGTTATCTAACTGAGAGCCTATGACTTGGGTTTATTCTAGTAATAGCAATGTTTGTCTAAGTAACTTAAAAACGAACTTTTGGTATTTGAAATTGGATGAGGGACAATGAAGAATCCCCTTTCTAATAGGCACAAGTGACTTATTTTATGCTCTTGTAATGAGCTAAGCACTCATTGTGAACCCAGCCTAAATTTGTGTCTTTGATGGCTTAAGCTCCCCTATGTGTAAATCATGGTAAATTGGGAGAGTGATAAACTACACCATAGACTTGGCGTTTGTCATGTCCCACAGTGTGCTTTACACAGACTTTTGCCCCCAGAATTTAGCTCCAATATTCATATATGTATGAGAAGAAGTTGGCATGGAAGATGTTAACCACAGGCGTATTGTATTTATGAAAAAGTATTAAAAGTTTTTGTAACTGTAGCTAGTAACCAACTTAACAGCATCACAAGGGTAGTTACATGTTTGAAATGAGAAGTAGCAATTTTGTGACGCAGAATTTTTTTTGTTGTTGTTGTTAACAGAATGAGAGGAGGGGATCAATTTGCATTACTTAGAGAGCTTTTTAATGAACATCTTCTTTTAAAAAGTATGAGTAGAAACTTGACTGAAAGGCAGTCTAGAGAAAAAAGTCTCTCTTCCCCTGTTCGTCCCCTTATCTGTAGAGATGAGCATTTATGGCTTGGAGAGGAAGCTTCCAAGTGTATTTAATTTGGCACATGCATGTGGGAATGAGGAATGTAGAGGGAGGGATGGGAAGGAAAAAGGGAATTGAAGACGTTAAATAAGGCAGCAGATGAATAGGAGGCTCCTAAGGGAAAAGCTTTAGGACATGGATCATAAGGTTTTAATTTTCCTTCAACTAATACATATATGGATTCCAAATTCAAAGGGCAGAAAACAAGTTTTCGTCTTCTTTTTTTTTTTTTTTTTTTTTCCGTGGTAAACAATTTATTTTGCTACCTTGGTTGCTTACAGGGGGGAAAAATAAAACGTCATCAGGGAGAAGCACAGATGAATACAGAGATGAAGAAAATTCACAATGGCTAAAACGTTTGTGAGGCAAGCATACTAGGACAAGTTCACCAAAGCAAAGCAATTCACAGCAAAACAAAACATGGGGGGTGGGGGCGGGGGGAAGCCTTGCAGATTTTGTTCTTTGAAAAAAAATAATACTCATGGAAAAGCCTGCAGGAAAATAACAGGAAACTAACCAATTATTACATCAAGCATCTTTAATGGGATGAGCCAAACTGCACATGTTGGGTCTCAAGGACAATGACATTCAAATGTATGGATTCACTCACAGCAAATGCATCAGATGGAAGCACGCAGGCCACTTCTCACGAACTACCAGCACAGACAAAGCGGTGACTCTTGAGGGTCCAACTGAGCAGTATACATCATTAATCCAAGAGAGTGGGTGTATTTCAGACAGGGAAGCAGAGGCAGTCAGGCCATGGGAAAAGATCCTTCTAAGGGTGATGGGTGGGAGTGCCAGCCCTCAGATGAGTGAACTTTGGATCTACTTCCTCCAAACTAGAGGCAGTATTTGGTACAGGCTAAAACTACTACTTGTGTATGTTTCCAGAGACTTTATATGCTTGTATAAGCGTAGACTTTAACAGTGTTGCATTTGGTTTTTCTGTTAATGAGTCTTGATGAGCATTTCAGTCATACAGAAAGAACAGCCACCATTCTTTGAACAACTGCATGCTTTTCTATACTGTTTTATACACACGTCAGATCATTTAACCATCTTCTATTGGTGAATACTTATAGCTTTATAAATAATTCTCCAGTGAATATTTTGTATATACTTGCAACTATACCGTAGGATAAAATTCAAAGTGGACATACCAGAAGTAGAATCCCTATGCCAAAGAGTATATATCCTTAAAATTAAGCGTCTTGTGTCCAGAGAGAGCCCATAAGCGTATACCAAAGGTGTCTGATTCCCACACATCAGACTTACTGATCTTCGTCCATTTGATAGATAAAAATGATACGTCGAGGTTTTAATCTGGCTGTCTCTCAAGTACAGTTGACTGTAATGTGTGTCTGAGAAGTAGCTGTTGTCCTTTGCCCCTTCTCTGTTGGGGTTCTGGTATTTCCAATTTGTTGAAGCTCCTTACTCGTTAAGGAAGTGAGTACTTTGCTTAATGTTACAAATATTTTTCCTAATTTTTCCCTCTGACTTTATGGTGTTTTTGATTATATAGTCAAGTATAGCCATTTTTGAGGGTTTTAGGTTTTGTGTGACTTATAAAACAAAACTACCCACTCAGTGTAAGTATATATAAATGCATTTTTCCCCCCAGTACTCTTAGAGTTTCATGCTTTTACATTTAGTCTTTGATCTGTCCAATCTAGATCTTAGTTTGGCATGAGGTAGGGAGCCCCCTTTTCTTCTTTTTTATAATTTAGGTAACCATCCAGATATGTTTTTCACTTTACTATTCTGAAATGCCTCCTTCAGTTATATACTAAATCCCTTTAAATATTTGATTTTATTTCTAGATTTAAAAAATTTTGTTCCATCGATTTGTGTTTTTGGGCCAATAACATGCTATTTCAATTATTATGGTTTTGTGATATCCATTACAGGCTAGTATATATCATTCCTATTTTTCATAACGTTTTCTGGCTATTTCTGCCTCTCCTATGAACCTTACAAATTCTAAAATAAATTCTAACTTCGAATCTACTAGAAGTTCACATACTTTAAAATAGATAAAAATCTCAACCCTAGATACTTCCACCCACCCCCCCCCAAAAAAAAGACTTGTAGTGTCCAGATTGTCACTAGTGTCAGATGTCCCTCCTCTGATGCTCAGAACCAGCGTTCAAGCATAGGTGTAGTCCTGACTTTAATCCTGTGTGATGTCTTTTTGAACAACTCCTGGAAAAAAGACTTGAATCAAAATGTATTCCAACAGTTATTCTCCTCTGTAACGTTATTGAGGTTCTTCCTGGAGATTTTCTTAAAATTGTTATTTGTATCTCAAGGACTGATTGTGTTACAGCCTCTGGTTGCTGTGTGACTTCTCATGCCTGTGTCATAAAGACTAACCTTGAAAGTACAACAGGTGATACACAGTAGAAAGCAAGTTGTATTTCTTTAGGTAGACCAACATACCTGAAATCTAGAAAACCCATGCCACCAAATCATAGTCTAGCTCTGGTCACAGTAAAACAGCACCATAACTTTATGTAATTATTTGAACTTAATTGTGTAGCTCAGGGGTCCCCAACCACCAGACCATGAACCAAGACCAATCCGTGGCCTGTTAGGAACTGGATGGCACAGCAGGAGCTGAGCGGCAGGTGAGCCAGCATCACCACCAGAGCTCCATCACCTGTCAGATCAGCAGCGCATTAGATGCTCATACGAGTGTGAAGCCTGTTGTGGACTGAGCATGTGATGAGGGATCTAGGCTGTGCCCTCATTATGAGCCTCTTAACTAGATCCTGATGATCTGAGGGTGGAACAGGAAGAGGCTCATCCTGCAACTATCCCCCCCCCCACCACCACCACAGTCCATGGAAAAATCGTCTGCCACAAAACTGGTCCCTGATGCCAGAAAGGTTGGGGATTGCTGGTGTGGTACATACAGTGGACACAAATGTACTGCGTGCTAATCATGAGAGATCACGAAGAACTGCTAAGTGTTTAGAGAGCACGGCAAAAAGAGAACTCTGCTGTCCCCAAAGCTGTCTTGAAACCAAACGTATCACAATTAAACATCATTCATCACAGATTTTGCTTGGGATCCATACCCAGAAGTGCTTTGTAAGATGATCTAGATAGCCTAGGACTTTTTCATGCTGTTCAGAGGCTTGTAAACTTTTGTCTTCCCCTCCATGAGTACCCTGTAGGGAACACTAGAGCACTCATCCCCAGATGGGCCCTGCAGAGCCTGCTGTGATCACATGCTCTGCCCACTGCTTTCTGCCTCCTTGCCCCGACCAAGTGCCCGTGTTGTCTTTCCATTGGCTTGTGTCCCCTCTCCATAAGTGAACTCCTCTGTGGCCTTCCTGTTCACCCCAATCAGGGACACCCTTTCTTCAACTTTTATGTTACATTTTATTTCCCCTATTAGAGTTGTCTACACCACGCAATGCCTTGTATTGATGCCTGTATTTTCACCCCCTTCTTGATGGGAGTGCCTAAAGAGCTCATCTCCATGTGCCCAGCAATGCCCTGACAACCAAGTAACAGCCATAGGGGATCCCTGGCACCAGTGCAGGCCAGAAATCCATGTTGGAACCCCAGGAGAATGCATGCCGATGGGTATTCAAACATAGCAGCTTCCAAACAATGAAAGTGCAGAAGTCATTGGGATGGGTTTTGTGTGTGTCTAGCAAGTCAGAAAGCCAGAAGGGGTGGGAAAACTGTTCACAGTGAAATCTGAGGCCAGCACCTTGACTCTTTGCTTTGGGTTTTATATCCATCTAGCAAATATTCGACTCATGGCTCTACAGGCACCTTGACTTTTTAATAGATGAGTATTTGTTTTTATATATTAGGATTTCCAGGGATCCATTGTGTTTTATTTTTTGATAAGTACAGCATAGCTGAAAATTACTTGGAAAACTCTGTGGTCCTAGCAGATGAAGGGGTGTTTTTCTCCTAGTAATCCGTGCCAACTTTCTTCTCCTTGGGTATCTTAAAGATACCACTTTCAAAGTACACCAGAAGGTGCACACGCCCTGAGGAAGCTGGCCATGTCCCGTGTCAGGCTTCCTTGCCTGGGAAGAGTGGCTCCAGTACATAGGTGCCCTAACCCGTTGTTGACTAGAAATTTTGTCATAAAAACAACTCTTTGGTTCTACCCGAGATGACAGAAGTCCTTGTTAGGAGAGATTTCTCCCATAAATGAAAGGGACATGGGAATTTTGCTTAGGGAACATGTTTTATTCCACTAGAAGGGGTTGGCCTGCCACTTACTGGTGAGGTTGTAGCCCAAAGTTGAGAATCCATCTTCTTGTGAAGTGAGGGAAGTCGTGTGTGTGTGCATGTGTGTGTGCGTGTGTGTGTGTGTGTTGTGTGTCCTCTGTGTGAGCGTTGTAGCCTAGGTGTCAACCAGGTCAAGATGTGGTTAGGCAGCCAAAAAGCTGGAGAGGTACCTAATTCAACTATGGTCCTTTATGGTTCGCTAATGTTCTGTTTTTAGAACATTTGAAGCACACTCCATTTCAGCACGCTCCACCCACACCCAGAAAAAAAACAAGCAAAATGACAAAACCCCAAACAAAGCAAAACTATGAAGTCATCTAAAGCATGATAGAATGTGTTTGCGTGTTTTTGTCCTTTTCTGTGGAGGCAGCTTTTCACATATTTAACTCATTTAGTCCTCAGGGCAACACCTAGCAGCAGGTGCTGTTTATCACCATGTTACAAGAAGGTGTTCAGAGATTAAACAATATCTGAGTTCCTCAAGCTGCTTTGCCATGTAGAAGTAGATCCTAACTCTGTTTCTCACCCCTCACTTTCAGTTTTCACAGCCAGAACATCCCCTGAAGATGGCAGAGGAGAGCAGCTGTACCAGGGACTGCACGTCCTTCAGTGTGCTCAACTGGGATCAGGTTAGCCGGCTGCACGAGGTCCTGACCGAGGTCGTACCTATCCACGGACGAGGCAACTTTCCAACCTTGGACATGACTCTGAAGGACATCGTCCAGACCGTCCGCAGTCAGCTGGAGGAGGCAGGCATCAAAGTGCAGGACGTCCGGCTGAATGGCTCTGCAGCTGGCCACGTTTTGGTCAAAGACAATGGCTTGGGCTGCAAAGACCTGGACCTCATCTTCCATGTGGCCCTTCCAACAGAGGCAGAATTTCAGCTGGTTAGAGATGTGGTTCTGTGTTCCCTTCTGAACTTCCTGCCAGAGGGTGTGAACAAGCTTAAAATCAGTCCAGTCACTCTGAAGGAGGCATACGTGCAGAAGCTAGTGAAGGTTTGCACGGACACTGACCGTTGGAGCCTGATCTCCCTCTCCAACAAGAACGGGAAGAACGTGGAGCTGAAGTTTGTTGACTCCATTCGGCGTCAGTTTGAGTTCAGTGTGGACTCTTTCCAAATCATCCTGGATTCTTTGCTTTTCTTCTATGACTGTTCCAGTAACCCCATCTCTGAGCACTTCCACCCCACCGTGATTGGGGAGAGCATGTACGGGGACTTTGAGGAAGCTTTTGACCATCTGCAGAACAGACTGATCGCCACCAAGAACCCAGAAGAAATCAGAGGCGGGGGACTTCTCAAGTACAGCAACCTTCTTGTGCGGGACTTCAGGCCCACAGACCAGGAAGAAATCAAAACTCTAGAGCGCTACATGTGCTCCAGATTCTTCATCGACTTCCCGGACATCCTTGAACAGCAAAGGAAGTTGGAGACCTACCTTCAGAACCACTTTGCCGAAGAAGAGAGAAGCAAGTATGACTACCTCATGATCCTCCGCAGGGTGGTGAATGAGAGCACCGTGTGTCTCATGGGGCATGAGCGTAGGCAGACCCTGAACCTCATCTCCCTCCTGGCCTTGCGTGTGCTGGCGGAACAAAACATCATCCCCAGTGCCACCAACGTCACCTGTTACTACCAGCCAGCTCCTTACGTCAGTGACGGCAACTTCAGCAGCTACTACGTTGCCCATCCTCCAGTTACCTACAGCCAACCGTACCCTACCTGGCTGCCCTGTAACTAACCTTGAGACCTGAGGGTTTCCACAATGGGAACCCCAGTAGGGCCAGGGCTCTCAGGTAGGGGATTCTCCTTCTAGATGTAGGTGTTTGGCTTTTAAAGGGGAACTCAGCTCTGATTCTGCTTTTTTGTGTGTGTACCCATTGGAATGGGTCTACAGTGTATCATGAGCCAACCCTAAAAGGACCCATATTACAGTGCCACGTTGGAAAATGCTGTAGGAAGCATGACCTATCCACATCTTTCCAAGATAGACACTAACATGTCACGTCCCAAACATTAGCATGTGGGGATTGAGCTCTGTGCAATAACTGAGATTGGGAGAGTCTGGGCAACGCAAGAGAAGTGCTAAGCTACGTGGCTTCTCTCTCGAGCCCCGAATGAATAGGCTGTGTTGGCCCTCACTTGGGATTCTCAGCAGTTATGTGAAAGTTGTGCTGATAACCTCTTCTCTTGTATCAATTTTAGTCAGGCAGAAAATGGTAAACACGAGGGTGCTCTTGTGACTTAATTTTTGTTCAAGGGACTGAATTGCTTATGTTTATTCCCTGTCAGCGGAGCTGAGAATGTCATTCATCAATAAACCAAAGCCAATAGCTGGAGAGTTCAGACCTGGTTGAAAGTGGTTTATGGTTTACATGCCATACTATCCTGAGGAATTGCGAGATATTGCTGAGGGGGAAAAAAAATGACCTTTTCTTGAAATGTAACTTGAAAACAAAATAAAATGTGGAACATAATATTTAAGTAGAATTGTGGTGGTGGTAGTGGGAGGGGCTGATTGTAAGTAGGAAACATGAATGTTCAGTTTTTTTTCTTTAAGAAATTCTTATTAAATGGCTCTCCACCTTTTTTTTTTTTTTTTTTTCTTTTTTCCTCATCAGCTCTTTCATGGCTGACTTTGGTTTTATTCTTTCTAAGACTAAGGATTGCGCTGAGTCCAGAGTCATTGTGGTAACTGACATGAGGGTCTTCCCATGTTTTAATTGGAAACCCATTTTGGTCACATTCCAAGTATGACAAAGCTGTTCTTCTGGAGTACTTTGGCTGTTTTTTGTTTGTGTTCTTCTTGTTTTTTCAAAAATAGTGACTTCCTTCTCTAGGTGTGTTTGACAGCAACTCAATTCAGGAATTTCAGTAGAACTGAGTGACCTGTGGAACTGCTTTAGAACCTAACCTGCTGTCTTCTTGCTGTGTGTGAAGGGAAAGGTAGGAGGGTTAGCATTAAGTCTGGCCTTGTGTGCATTGGAGCTACCAAGGCACTTTGAAATCATTCCAGCATATTTGGGAAGAATTGAGTAAATGAGAATGCTCTTCCTTATTCTGGTAGATTTGACTCATTTATATTCTGCACTTTAGAAGGAAAACAGTGTTAATCTCTAGTTGAAATCGTAGTAAATGAGAGAGTTCTAGGCTACTGTGGCCTTTTCCAGTAGGTTTAGATGAGATTATGTGTTTTGAAATGTTTTGTGGGATCGCTTAGAAAGCATCACGTTAGGGCAGAGACACTCAATATTGCCAGCCAGCTTGGTGTCTAAAATGATTCAATCAAATTTATGCTCCTGATTTTTTTTTTTTTTTCTTCTGTGGCTATAAAAACCCAAAGCCCAGGGTGATTGTTTTCTCCTTGCTTTAAGCAATGAAGTTAACTTAATGCAAAAGAGCTTAGTAGAAAATGAGTGGTTTACCTTTTTCTAAAAGTGTATTTTTCAGGCTGATTCTGGAATGTGATGTCTTGGTCCTCTTAAGCAGACCTGACTGTAACTCAAGGCTTAGCTGGCATCTATGTTATGCTACATTAGGTGACTAGAGGCCACGCACTGTAATCGGCTCCTGTTTCCCTGTGAGCCTTCGTTGTATTTGAATTCACCGGCTTTGAGTCAAGCCCAGTTCTAACTGAGGGGACCCAGTGTGCTTCAGCGTTAAGAGTGGGGCAATGAAGAGTGAATCCCAATAAAGAGTGATCCCAACTTTGAAAACTATCTGGTCATTCATGACCTTAAAAAGCTGCCATTGTGGTCAAATGGCATTTGTTTGCACAAAAATGACAGATGTGTTGAACCAAAGCTTTGAAACATGATGAAGCTGCCAACATAAGCACTTGCTAACAGCAATCAGTATTTCTTTTACTTAGAAGGCTTGGGGACCAGGGTAATGAGGCACCAGATGAAGATAAGATCTGCATCAAGTAATTAAATTTCCATTTTGTCCTTAGGGGTTCTCTCTGCTTATGTTTTTTTCCTATCTGGTAATAGTCCTCTTCTGAGGATGAAAGGAGGCACAGAAGTTGCAAGAAAGACCCAGTCCCTAGTCTTTGCCACCATTGCACCCTGGCGGTCTTGAATTCCCTTCACCTGACCTTTTTAGTCAGCTCAGATCTTTTTGTAGTTTGGGAAATAGACCTGTGTTCTAGAGCTATCAGGGTAAAAAGCTGCACTGACCAAAGCTGTATTTTTAAAACACAACCCCGAGGCTAGAGATGTCTCTACTTGCTCTGTGAGCCTTTTGCCAGCCTCAGAATAGGCCAGGCAACCTTGAATTTCAGGTGCCTGGAAATTCTAGCTGAAACCTGCCTTTCCTAATGCTCACCAGGTACCCTGAACTTGTACTGAGTGCAGTGGTTCTCGTGTGTGTGTGTGTGTGTGTGTGTGTGCGCGCGCGCATGTGTGTGTTGAGTAACATGAAACTCGGCAGCGGCAGAGGGCACTGAAGTTCACATGCCAGTTCTAATCTAAACTTAAGCATCTCTCATTTGCTTCAGGGCTCTGATTTCTGACTGTTTTCTGATGCTTTCGGCATGTCTGCAGCCTGTTCTTCTAGCCCGCTGCCTGGAGTCAGGTTGAGCATCAGTGAGATGAAAACAGCACCTATTCCCCTCACGTTGGCAGAAAAACACACACTGGATTCCTGGCTTGGAGCTCTAGTGTCCTTTTTAAGTCTTACCTTGCCCATCACAGGGTGTTTCCTCATTCAGCAATTTCAATGCTGGAACCTGAACTCTATTACCAACGCCTTCTGATCGGAGTTCCTGATGGGATGCCTATGGGATGTGGCATGGCCCACACCTGGGGGACCTGGCAGATGGGCTGAGTTGGGTAGGGAAGATGATGCTTAGTTAATGACAGATGGTACAGATGTAGTCTGGCATTTCAGTTTGCTTTTTCCAGTTTGATTTTCATTGGGGTTTGAGTCACAGCAAGCTGTGTAAGAACTTGTGTCTTGTGGTGACACATTAATCAATTGTGAAAGCCCTGAATCTGCTGATTCTTCAGCTTCACCTCTGCACTAACCCCTTTATGGTACATTAGGATTTTAACTAGTACTGCATTGTTGACTTTGGGAAAGGGTGCCACTCAAAAGCAACTTCCTAACTTTAGGAATAATTCCTTTGTAGCTTCTTTTCTGGTACTGGTTGGTGCCTTGGATTAGGATGCAGCTATATTCTTAGATCAAATGTTCTAGGGAGCAAAGTAGTTACCCAGTGGTGAGACAAGACCCTGATGCTTACGGGGGCCATTCCTTCCTTGGTGTCTGACTGGAGCTCTGTGCCAGGGAATTCTGTAAGGATCCAGTTTCCAAGGTTAGAGTGATATCCTTAATCTTGCAGAGACTAGAATTTCACAGCTGACTTTGGAACATATTCCAATTCAACCAGTTACAATCAGAGGACCAAGTCAGGGGCGGGGCTGGTGTGTGTTGAGGAGAGGCGTTTTAAAAGATCTGGCAACTTTTCAGGATTCTTTGTGGAAACCTCTAAGGTGAAGATCAGGAAAAGACTGTGTGTCTGTGAGTTCAAGTGCCTAAATCTTGTTTACCTATCACTTTTTTAAAAAATAATTGAAGTGTAAGCTAAATAAAATGCTTGGAGTTTTGCCTGGGCTGGTGAGAGTTGGTGCAAATTCTCCTGTGTGTTTGCGTAGGCAGGTGAAATGACCATCTACTAAAGAGGAAGTAGCTAAATAATACAGATCTGTGGGCGTTTTTTTTTTTTTTTTTTTTTTTTTTAAATCTAAATTTATTTGGTATTTTATTTGAATGGATAAAAATCTAATTTTCCTAAGGCAGCAACTTATTTCTAAATATAGATGAAAAATAGATACCCATTAGACTAAATTGAAAGCTTTTTGTTCTACATTTACATAGCCTTTGAAATATTAATTTCTTAGCAGTCCCTAGGAGGTCTGGGGTTTCCTCTTTGGTAATGGTCACTAACCTTACATGATGCGGATGAAATCACTTGTCAATGCAAAATGTGTTAGAACTTGATAAAATAAAGCTTTGAGTTTGAGAAATAAAGGTATATTTAAAATGGAAATAAAACTTGTGATTCATGCTCATTGATTTGTCTCTCAATGATGAATTCGTTTTAGGTTTCAGGAAACATATCGACTAGAGATATTCCTATCTGTCAACATCAGCCTTGAATGCTTCTCTGAAGGACAGATGCTTGCTTTGGTGGGAGGGCTATGTGGTTAACTTGGAGACCGTAAATCCCTTAATATTTGGGCTCTTTTTCAAGGTGCCTGACAAACTTAAACTAGGCTTGCTTGTTGACCACCTCGCCTTCTAGGTAATACTCATGGCAGATGTAGTCTTGCAATCTGCCTTTGCTGGCAGCTTGTTTAATTTGTGCCCTTAGCTGCTAGCTGTTTCAATAACAACAAAGAAAACAACTTTAGCCATGCATGTACAACTACTCCTGTAGTTTGTTCACGTTTTTAAAGAAGTATAGAAGTGAACAAGTGATACTTGGAGTGACTGATAGATGTTTGAAGGATATAAAAAGATGCTGTAGACTTTGGTTAGCAACCTTCCTCCTCATTCCTTTGATCTAATTCACAACAACCCCTGCCCACCCCAATTCCTGCTGCTTCCATGGTGTCCCTTCTGTGTAGAATTTCTTTGAACTCCTCTGGTGCTCTCCTAACTGTCCTCATGAAACTTACATCTTTGGCTGTATGTCAAATCTCTTGCCTCTACCTGTCCCTGCTCCCGCTTAAACATTTCGGTCAAGGACGCACATGCTCTGGAGTCTGGTAGATGTGGAGTCCTTCCCGATCACGTCTTCTGCATGTTGACTCAATAAGCCACCCTTGCTCCTCTCAAGCCCTGACTGCCAGCTCACACTACCCATGTGGCCTCTGGACTCCTTCCTTCACTGCCCGTCCACATCCACATCAGTGGCCTCTTTAGTTTTATGGTGGACTACCTTTGTTCTAGTCATCTACTCGCATCGGTTAGACACTGTCTAGATCTGGAAGTGCTCATGAAGGTTGGAGTGTGACATTCTTCTCTTTTCACCTCAAGAATGGGGATCACTGAAGAGCAGTTTTCTGATCTTAGGTTTGCCCGTCAGCCATCCCCAGGATCCTCTTCCTCCTCATTTTTACTGCGTGTAGCTTCTGAAATGTTTCTTGACTCTGCCCTCTTGGTTGCTTTCAGCTCTTGCTTGGGCTATTTCATGAGTCTTCTCACTTGCCTCTCTTTTTCTTGACTCTTTGAAGGGGTCTTTCTAAAACAGATGTGCCTGGACCCCTCCCATACATTAAAACCTGCTTAAGACCCTTCTGTGCAAGAGCAGATGTCTGGAGCCCTTGACAGCTAGCTAGCCCTAGTCTCCCTTCCTATCCTTTGACCTACTGTGCTAAGCTGGCCTACTTGGACTTCTGGAGCACACAGCTTCTTCCAGGCACCTGACCCCACAGCAGGCTTCTAAAATCTCAGCCAAATGTCACCCCCGTCCTCACCTTCTCTGGCTTACCAGGCCCTATGCCTGCCACCTCCCCCTTCCTGCTCTATGTATGTCCTTGCTGGGTTGCATCAGCTCTTCACCCACATTGTGAACGCCTGAATGCTTCTTCTCTGCCCACTTTTCATGTCACTGGCATAGATTTGGTGCTTTGAACTGGATAGGTTTTTCCCTGGAAGACTTGTCCTTGGGCCCCTGGCCACTTGGAGGCTGAATCCTGGATATTTACCTGAATGTGTCGTAATGCCTTATTTTGGTGCCAGAAACCATTTCAGTCCCAGACGTTGTCCAGACCAATACTTATGTGCAGGACAACTTGCGTGGGACGTGCTGGTGCTCAGCTTCCTGGAATGCGCGGTCATGTCCTGGACACTAACACAATTGAACAGAAGCTGTTGGCCCCCTGAGCAAGGTCTGTTCTAAGGGTTGCAGTCTTCACACTCAGTGGTATTATGTTGAACTCCCCACCCACTCAGTCCTGGCAGACCTACCCTTCTGGTGTTTTAGAATTCCTCTCATGCTGTCTCCAAGTGTTCATTCCTCAGCCTTGGAATGAAGCTCCCACCGTTGCCACCTGGGACCTCCAGGGTTCCAGAAGCACACTTCTAAATGAGTGGGGATTCTTTTATCTCCTTCACTGTCTGAGTAATCGCCTGGGAGGGATGGTAACATGCTTGCCTGTAATTCGGGATTAGTATCAGCTGGAAGATACTGATGACATTAATGGGACCTATAAGGGTTTCCCACATGACCTCTGAGCAGCCAGAGCCTCACTGCAATGGTGCCACTCTGCCACCTTACCTTGGCATGGGGCCTCATCCTCTCCAGAGGCCTTCAGCTCCTTATGTACTTAGGGCAGGTAGAGTCAGAGGCAAGTCAGGGATGGTGCCCAAACTGGGCTGGGTGGTCCACCCCTGCTCCCTGCCTTAAAGCTGTGTCAAGTGACTTCATGTCTGAAGTGACAGCATCATTGGAGCTGGGGCCACGATGCTGGTTTCCTGCCTCCTGGCCCTGTGCCTTCTGCAACGTGGGATTGTGTCCCTCCCTTGGGGATAAGTGCTATCTAGAAGCATGTGCTCCCCTGGCAGATGAGCCACTCCTCAGACTCTGTCACCACTCTCTCAAGCAGGTTTCTGTCAAGGCCGCCCAGAATCCAGGAAGCTGGAGCATGTCGGGCGGCTTGGCTTCATATCCTTCCTCACCCAGCTCAGAGCGGCCCGGGCCACCTGCTGGGAGATCACACGTCTCCCAACTCAGGGCATTGTCACCGGAACTGGCCATCCCTGGGCCACCTCTTACTTAGGAAGTTTCTGAAAATGGGAACTGTTCCTAAGGGAAAGGCATGAGAAGCCGGAGTGGCCGCTTTTCTTTCAGATGCTTCCCTGAGAAAAAGGTATCCAAGGCTGTAGTGTTAGAGAGATGGAGATGGCAGCAAACAGCAGCTTTGGCCAGGATGTTTTCAACCATTTAAATCTATCCCTTCCATATGGATCGTGCATGAGGTTTTGCTCAAGGGGCCTGTTGGGAACTAAACCCATGAGAAAAATGGAGTGACATCTCTTTGCTTTAGACTAAGGCCTTAGGTTGACCAAGTACACACTGCATATATGTAGCTTGCAGGCCTCAGACACGTGGGCTCACGGGGGCTAGGTAGCAGTGTTTCCGGAGGCTCAGTGTGCTTCTGAGTTGCCCAAGGCTACATATCTTGTAAGAGACAGAGACTGTGCTCTATCTCTTACAAGCTTTGACTGCAAAGCCTGGTTCCCCCACAATAACAGCCCTGAAAACGCTCTGTGAACCATAAATCACCCTGCAAATATTCATTTTTATGTGAGCCCCCTCTCAAGGGCCTAAGGGGTGTTGAGTTGCTTGGTAATAGATCCGTTTCCACTTATCCAGGAAAGGAATTCCTTGGACGGCCCAGCAGCGTTTCTCAGACAACCCTCCCTTTGTGGATCAGGTGTGGGGGGACCCACTGCAGGCTCGTTAACATGTTTGGGGGATGCTCACGGAGCACCAGGTCCCATGCTAAGCATTAGCATTTAATCTTCCAACAACTCTGAGATAGGATAACTAGGTTTACAGGTGAGGAAACCTAAAGGTCATGCAGCTGCCACAGCCAGCACCTGGCTCTGGGGTGTCTGGCCCCGGGGCTCTAGCTCTCAGTTCTTTTACAGTATGCGATTTTGTCTTTGTCCTGCATTTCACAGGGTGACACACAGAAGAGGCACAGGAGAGCAAACATCCTGACTTCCAACAGAAGCCTTTTGAAGAGGAATGAGGAGGAGGCCAAAGCCACTGATTAAACTGATTAGTTAGAATAAGGAATTAAGCCAACTGACGAAGTTAAAATAGGGTGCCTATTGTGGTTGGCATGACGTTTTAAATTGGAATTGAAAAGGAAACAGCATCACAGTTCCCCCTCGCCCCTCACCTTACCTAGGCAGCCGTGTATGGGAGTACTGAAACTGCCTGCAGGCTGGAGGGGCGGGTGCGGGAGGGCTTTTGCAGAAGTCAGGGAGCCAGTTCACCTGCAGCACTCAAACAATGAAACCAAGAAGGGAGGGGACTCAGAAAACTAACAGCACAACCCCAAGCAGTTCCTGGAGTCAAACACCTGTTGGTTTTCAAGCACTAAATATAGTGGAAGTTGGGCCATCTTATCCTTAAATAAACACTACAGCTAGCAAAGACTTTTTTGAAAAGAATCTTTACATTGGCTCAGGTAAGCAGGAGGCTGGGAGAAGCAGCGCTTGGGTGGCTGTGAATGGCCCGCGGCAGCCTCTTGTCCTCACACCCCTTGCAATCTCAGGATCCCATGTGAAACACTCCTCTGTGGTTTTCCCCCTCCGTTTCAGTCATCTGCGTGTACCTTGTTGTCCCTGTGCCCTTCATCCCCTCCCCCTACCATGAGGGATCAGTTTCCTTGGCCCTCATCTGATCTGACCGGGGACAGCAGGAGAGGTGTCCCCTCGATCTTTAGCTTTGGCGAAAGAGGCAGCTTTTCAGCAGGCTTATTTTCCATCGTACTTTAGATATTACTGAAAGGAAACGGACTCTTCTTTGACTTTGCCTTTTGAATTTTGGTTGCTGCTGAATCGGGCACAGTCCCTGCTTTAGGAAACGTTAAGCCAGGGGCTTGTGGCTGGGTTTCCGGCTTCTTGAGTGCCAGTGTGGTGCCCAGCAGGGTTCAGGGGATTCAAGGTGAGGAGCCCTTTAGAGAGAGGCAGTGGGACAGAAGAGCTGGGGCTTCGGAGCAGGAGAGTCCAGCTCAGCACACTCCTCTGCTCCCCTCGTGATCACGTCAACCGCACCAAGCCCGGTGTTCTTGCGGGTACGATGCAGGTGATGATGATACCAGCTTTCAGGTTCCTAAGAATTAGGAAAGCCAGGTATTTTTTGATAAAGCTCCAAGCCCAGTATCAGGTGCCCATAGATGGTATCTATTACTTGATATCCTCTGCCCCAGAGGAGTTTACAATCTGCTCGGGGAGTTAAGAAGTATCTAAGTGGTATTTAAAGTATTAACATATGTGTGCCACAGATTGGTTCGGCCGGACATCAGGAAGTAAAAACACTGGCTACAATTTAT